AGTACACAGCGTAGGTGCGTGCATATTGCACAAGTGGAAGAATGGAAAAAGTTCGACTGATCGCCCATGCAAGCAGATCGCTACTACCTGCTGAACAAAATTATTCACAAATTGAGAAAAGAGGCAGTGGCGATTAAGGAAACTGTAACAAATTCCATCGATACATACATGGACGGTATTTCACGCTACAGACGGACCACAAGCCTCTGGTAACGATATTCGGTTCAAAAAAGGGTCTGCCAACTTACACCGCAAATAGATTGCTTAGGTGGGGGACAATTTTATTAAATTATAATTTTAGAATACAATATTTGTCCACCCACAAAATTGGTCATGCAGATGGGCTATCAAGACACATTCCAAAAGCAACAGAACCTTTAGAGGATACGGTAATCGCTTCACTCAGAGCAGAGGACGAGGTTGAAGAAAATTTGGCAAACGCAATACGAGAATTACCAGTATCGCTTAAGGACATCAAAAAAGAAGACGAATTACACGAATTGTTTGATATGTTCGACCTGCAAATACCACAGACTGAGCAGAAACAACGCAGATCTGCAAGAAAACGTAAAGCGACACAAAATTTAATAAGACCCGAAAAGGAAAAAATATTAATTTTTTTTTTTTTTTTCCCACAATGAAAAAAAAAAAAAAACAATTTTAGCGGGGGGGTGTTGGGGCGCACCCACCTTCTAACTAGTAATGGACTGGTCCCTCTTATATAAGTCAGCTCTGGAGAGAGAGTGACAGAGCGTCAGAGAGAGCGTCAGCGTTAGCAGTCCAGATAAGCTTACCCGGTACATACCGTTGGACTATAGACTTTGGATATTGTTTCGTACTAACCAACCTTCGTTCTACTAATCACTCTATTGTTAATTGCTTTTATGAATATACCAGTATTTTCCTCAACAACTGTGTTTGTCTTGATTCATACACCGACACGCGGGGAAACTCACAACATCTCAACAGTGTGTGTGTGTGTGTGTGTGTGTGTACGATGTCTAATAATATCTGAAACAAAAGTGAAGATTATGAGACAAAGGGGAAAAATTATCAATGCATTTTGCTGAGAGCATTTGGTCTCTTTTATTTCCTCAGGTTAGAATGAAAAAATAGAAAACTGTATGTGAGTAAAAATGCCTTGAGAACTTGAGATAAAAAAAAGAAAAAAGGCACTGATATATGTATATACCTGAGTGGGTGAGTAATTATGCACACATGCATATATTTACCTAAAAGGGACTATTGCTGCCACATCTTGATCGGAGTAGCCTAGTCCTCACTTTCCAGCCTTGACCAAGTTCAAAAGCATTCATGCAGTCATACAAGTGATAATTTGTTTTCCACCCTTGTCTGTTGTCTTTAATGAAATATGTACAAATGAGGGATTGCTACCTAAATACACTATATATATATATATATATATATATACATACACACACAGAGCAATTTTTCCCTAACTCAGTCACTAACACTACTTTCAAAATGTACTGCAACTCTTACTGTAGAAGTCATAACATAATTTACTTATTATGCACACTGTGCCAGAAACAACATGTGGGAAAATCTTTCACTACAGAATCAATAATTATCGGAATCAGATTAAGTCGGCTCACCACCAAAGATACCTGTAGAACATTTCTGCCTAGAAAAACATAATTTTAATAGCCATGCAAACTTCACTATTATTGAAGCAATAGAAAGACATAAAAGATAAAGTTGGGAAAATACTAGAAGAACATGAAAACAAATGGATTTTGCGCCTCAAAACACTTTGTCCAGATGAACTTAACAGCAAACTAAACAGTACAGATGGAATTAATAGATCATCAACCCCCATATTTCTCTTTCACACATTATAATCTCTGCATAGTTGAATATACTCTACATAGAAGAGGACACCAGACATGAAAGAACCAAGCTGACTCCTCTAAGCCCTCTCACCCTCAGCCATACTAGACAGACATACTTACAGAGGTGATGAGGTCTCCCATATACACACACTCACACAAATATATACATATACACACATCATGCCCTCCAAAAACTAAAAGATAACATCCACATAATATGCACATCCCCTTCCCAGCAACCAATAAAACTTTCAGAATAACTCAGGCGGCAAATCTGAGACTCATAGATCTCCCAACCTCTCCTTTAAAAGAACTTGAAAAAGGCTTTTTGACCAATACAAGGACTAACCAAAAATTAACAAAAAAACAAATGAAAACTACAGGCAAAGTTCACTTTCTTCAGAGACAGCCATTCACCCCTGTAGTTCACTGCTGCTAACAAGCAGGAATTTTTTCTCCTGATGATGGCCATGCTGGCCGAAACTAGTCAAGGAACGTAATTTTAAAAAATAAAACAAAAATAATAATATACAACCCAGTGTGTCGGAAGTTTTAATTTTCTAACATTTTTTATTGTTCAAGATGTGTGCATGTAGGATATCTAATAGCATCTGAAACAAAAGTAATGATGATGAGACAAAGTGGGAAATTTATTGACAACACATTTTGCTGATACCATCTGCTCCCTTTGGCTTCCTCAAATTAGAATGAAAAAAATACCTTGAGATCTCTGAGAATAAAAAAAGAAAAAATGCACTGATATATCCATATATCTGAGTGAGTATGTAATTATACACACACACACACATATATATATATATATATATATATATATATATATATATATCACTAAGTGGTTAGAACATTCAGGGGTTTGAATTTCACCATGTTCACTTTGTCAGGAAGATGATTTCTGGATGTTATCAGTCTCAAGGAGTTGACCCCAGTGTATAGCAACTTTGGAAAGTGCTTGAAAATCATACCAAGGGCCTTGTTCAGATTGTTGATCATGGTAGATAACATGCACTCTCCCAGAAACTGTAACTATGGCCTGCTCAACATAGTTGCAGTATAAAACCATATGTGGGAATCTGTGGGTGCTGAACAAACAGAAATGTGCTTGAGCAGGTGTCTGCAATAGAGATTAGATGGCCCCCCGGTAGACAGGCATCCTCAGATATGAGTGGTTGCACCATTTTCATATGGTGTGTGTGTATGTGTGCGCGCACATATATATATATATATATATATATATATATATACACACACACACAACTGATGATGATATGATCTGTTGATGAGCTTGCCATAATTCCAGTGGAACACAAATTTTTTGATGGGATTGCCTGTCTTGGTTGTCATCCTAACTCAGGCTAATGGCAACTGAGAATCGCTGCATGTCTGCACTCAGGCATTGTGCCTCAACATTGTCCTCATAAAAGGATCATCTTCCAATCTACACTATTTACCCATAGCTGGGATCTTAACAGGTGCTACTACTGTGGGTAAAGATGGACCTAGGAACAACAGCAGTTAAAAGGTGGTTCCATGCTCCACAAAACCTCCAATCCCCTGATCAAGGATCTTTCTGCCAGATGTATTTTATCATATCCAGGACAGAAATACATATACATATATATATATATATATATATATATATATATATATATATATATATATCATCCAATGTACTATATCATCCACTGAGAGTCCACTAATATGATATACATTGGGTCCACGAAGAATGATTTTAAAGATAGATGGAGGCAGCATAAGTGCTCTTTCAATAATATAAATAAAAAAAAATCAGACTTCCCTATCTAAATATTTTTGGCATCTGAAGGAAACAAATAGGACACCTAAAATAAAATGGAAAATTATAAACAGGGCTAGAACATGTAAAACTTGGGATGACCCATGCCCTTTGTGCCTCCATGAGAAATTGCACATTATTAAGCTTCTAAATAATAATAATCTATTAAACAATAGACATGAGTTAACGGCTTTTTGTCAACATCATTAGATTCAGAAAACTCATTCTGAACATTCTAAGAAAAGTATAGCCAAATTTGTTGGTGAGGGCTTCAGACTCAACACATAGTCCTATATAAAGTGCTTTGAGTAGGTAGTTACTCTTTAGTATTTCAATATATTACTGTGTAATTTTAGTAAATATATCTGTTAAAATAAAGTGTCAGTATTATTTTCATTTTTGAGTAATTTATGACAATTTATCCATTGTATCCTGTAAATAACAGTCAGGAAGAAAACTTAAAACATCATATAAATCGGTCATAAATTTATTTCAGTGTGCGCACACATGCACACACACACACATATATATGCCTCATCAGATTGCCCACAATTTATTAAATGATACAAATTTAGCAACACAATTGGAAAATAAACCAGACAAAAAAAATGTAGTAGAATTAACTTGACCTTAAAAATCTTTTTTTTTTCTTCATCTTAGAAATTTATACAAAATTTATCAATCTTAATTTGATGAATAAATGAAAAAAAGAAATATTTTTCAGGACCTACTGATTCAAAATCAACATGGATCTTTGTGGTTGATTAGATATCTAACAGGAATTATGATTGACCATTTTCATAGTTGGTGGTACAGTGTTACATCACTTTGTTGGCATACTTCTGTCTCTCTCTCTCTCTTACTCAACAATAATCCTAACAATAATTCTTATATATTGCATCACCACAGGCTTCAGTCTTTCTCACCACAATGCTGCATTATAGACTGTATCAATGAAAGGCTATTTCTTTGTTCTTATTTGCCTTATTATACAAAATTGTATGAGGTTTCAGCAGGAAGATGTCCTGGGGAACATATGCAAAGTCCTTGCATTAGCATTTCAATACATGTGACCTAGACTCTCTAAAGAATCTAAATGAGGAGGACATGTTGACTCTTCAAGATTCTTGCAGCAATTTGCTATCTTTGCACTGTCTCATATCCAAAATTTAGATAAATGCAACCTATTACCTTAAAAATTCCATGCCTACAGGGTCTTACCACCCTGGGCTTCCTTCCCATTCTATAATATAATTAAACTTATTACTTACCAACACATGTTATTTGATGGTTTTCAATTTTTACTTTTTCATTACTCTTACACTGTGTGCAATTCACATCTGAAGGAAGGAAATTGAATATTATTATAGATAGAAAATGTGACAAAGAAATTCAAAGACACAGTAGAATGGAAAATGTAATTCTAAAAGCTAAATAATAATGTAAAAAGAGGAGAAATTTGTGTCAGAAACAAAAGAGTTCTGAAATTCTTTGTAATAAACAATAGGAACCCCTACAGAAGATAGTAAATGAAATCAAAAGGAAAAGAATAATGACCATTATAAGGACACAGAATCTATTATCAGCAAGAGGATGCTCTTGATATGTGAAATAAGTATTAGATATGACTATATCAAAAGAAGAAATTTACATATCTAAGAAGTGTTTTAACAGATGAAGGAGAATGAGATACTGAAATTCAAAGAAGCCTACCATTAGCAAAAGATGCTTTCTAGGAACTAAACAAAGTATTGCAGAACAAGCAAATTTCAGTGAAAACAAAACAAAAGAGTACTGAAATGCTATGTAATATTTAATTTTCTTATTTTGCTTGTCTGAAGTTATTGTAGCAAATATAGTGCACAAGAACCAGAGTCAAATGGCAGAAATGGTGAACAAGACTTGCCTTATTCATGTCTTTATTTGACATGTAGGACTTTGATTTGAGAGAAGGCAAGTGTGTCGTTTTGTCAAAAGAGAACCTTCTTTGTTGTCCCACAAGGAATTTGGTCATTAGCAAATTTACATAATATTAGCATAGTTGGACGGAATCAAGGAAGGACATCCGGGTGTGTTAGTGCTATAAACTGAGGTGCCCGTATGTCTAGTATATTTATCTCCTGGGCAAGTGATTGGTGGCTAGTGAATATAAGTAGACTAATTTCTTTTGAACACAGTTATTATGTAAACCAAATAAATTGCAATAAATCAAAAAGTTATGAATCAATATTTGTCAAATTTAAATTTGTCCATTTCCACCATTAGTGAATTATTTAACTAAATTCTCTTCCATTTTTAATGGTTACTTTTTGAGATATTTGGAATTTTCAAAAAGGAACTGATTGAAATTAGTATGCAGATGAAACTAATATTAGCTTAAGGAGTCTGAAATCTAATAAAAACTATTTTTCTTTTTGTTTATAATATATGTTGAAACATGGATAAAGGGTAGGATGTAACAATTGCTGAAAAACAACAGAAAATAACAAAGTTATTGAGTGAGAGAATATCCATATTGGAGATATGAAAGGAGCTTTGTAGAGATCATCAAATGATAAAGAAGGCTGTTGAAAAAAGAACTAAGTTGAGAACTTCAAACAAAGGAAAAGATTTTAAGAATTTGCTTCCTCGAGATGAATGTAAATTAAAATGAAGTTATAGCAACAAAAAAAAAAATCAAAAAACACTTTTGACCAGTACTCAGATACGTGAAAAGGTTGGAACTGAGGGAGTCAAGAAGGACAAAAGGTGTAGAATATTTTGTGAATCAAGATCTGTAAAAAAACCCTGAGGTTAACTCCTCTCACTAAAGCACATATTTTAAGGTATCAAAATTTGGCCAGGAAATCCATGAAAATTGACTTTTCTAAAGATGAATTTCGAATGACATGTGATAGACCTGATGGATGAGTCAAAGGATAGAGTTTATCCAATTCAAACATGACTGTGGCTAAAAGAAGGCAACAAGGAGACAATATGAGCTGGAATTGTTGACCAAACCATTATTAGACCATTCAACATCAATGGAGGAGTTAAAATGAACAGTACTAAATATTGCAATTTTATGAACAAGATTTTCTTTGCATGGTACAAGCCCCAGTTTCAAATAAAGTGTCTATTTATGAATAACAATGTCCTTCTCATGTATCTAAGCTTAGCTGTGAATTCTTTGAGCATAAAAGATTTACAGGAGAGAAGCTAATGGAATGGCCACCACCAAGTACTGATTTGAATCCATGCAAAAACCTATGGTCAATTGTGAAGATGAAATTATATGAAGGTGGCAAACAATATAATAGCAAAAGCAGACCTATGGGAAGCAATTAAAACTACCATGTTGGAAATTGAATCTGTTGAAGTAAAAAAATTAACAAAATCAATGGATAACAGATTATTGTCTGTTAATGAGAAGGGTAAATATATTAAAATGTAAAAGAATTCAAAGCCTTATGTTCTTATATTACTTATATATCCACATGTTATTTGTTCTATTATAGGTGTTGATCAATTTTTGATGATTTTATTACCTTTTTATTGAAGTAAAATGTGATTATTTAGTTTTGAGGCGGCAGTTTTTTTAGAATGCATCAAATAACTTCAATAAAATATATTGATACTTTCTAAAATTTATAACTCAGGCTTTGTTTTGACATCTAAATCGAATCTTTAAATTTTGACAATTTTTTTCAAAGCAAATTTGAATTATTGAAGTTTATAGCATTAGCTTAATAACCTCAGACAGGGTGTAGTAATGAATGTCGGACAAATTCCTCACAGATGAGGTCAGAGAAATTTGCTTCTACAGAAGAATTGTGAGAATACCATGAACTGAATATATGAATAAGAAGGATGTTTGAAGGAAAACTGGGTGCAATAAGAAAACTCATATCATTTCAAAGAAAGAGTTTGAATTTCAGGGAAACATAATGGATAGAATGAAATTGTAGAATTTCACACTGTCATATGCCCTAGTCGACGAATGGGTTTATAAGGTGATCAGAAGATATATACATTCTCAGACCTGTGGAGAGATACAGGCTATCTCTCTCAGATGACAATGGACTAAACAAAAAATATTTTCAGATTCGATAATCGAACAGTAATGGACAATTGGTTTAAACGAATAAAAATACAAGAATTTTAAAACATTTTGTACAAGAACTTTTAATATTACAGATATACAAATATTAAAATAAAAGAAAATATAAGTATGAGTAAAACATCCGACGACCAGATCTCATAACTTACATTGGGATATCAAAATTTGCCTAACACCAAATGGATTCAACTGAACCCGAACATAAAAAATATAAGTATGAATTACTATGAATGCAGAAGCTAACACATATACAAAAGAGATGGGATAGGGGTTACAATTATTATTTTGACATGTGGAAAGGTGTTTGCAATAACATAATATTTTTGAATGTATGTGTATCTTTCTAATACAGGTCCAAAATATAATTACTTATCTTTTATATTCAGTTCTCTTTTTTTTTTTATCATTGTCCTTTCTTTTCTTTTCTTGACACAAATATGATTTCACACACTGTCCGGCTGTAACAGAGATATACACTTTCTTCCTCTCTTTGTTTTGCCTTTTTCTTTCCTTCCTTTTTCTTATGTAGACAGTTCGGTTTTCAAACCTGACTCACTCCAACAGGGATATACACTTTCTTCCTCTCTTTGAGTTTTCTTCTTTCTTTCTTCTTCTTTACACAATTCAACTCGTAACAGAGGTATATGCTTTCTTCCTCTCTGGTTTTTCTTTTTCTTTAAACGCAGGCTTTACTCTCATCGTACAAATTTCTCTGCATCTTCAATTTGGGGTTATCGAACAGAAATACTTCTTCTTATATTTCTTGTCCGGAGTTGCCTGGGTTGAACTGGACAAGTCCTATCATTATCAAATGAGTCTTATCTTTCCGTTCATAAATCATCAGCACTTCGACTTCAGGTCTGGCTCCCTCAAAGTCAAGACAGCAACTGATTCCCAAGTATGTCTTAAGTTTTGGCGCGAATTCCAGCTTATATCAGTACCCTGTCTAGCTTCTGTCTAGACATTTGTCGCTACAGGTAATTGGGTCAGTCGACCTTTTGACTTGCTTTCCCAAAAATGTCACAAGACTTCCACGTGACCTCTATTCTGTTGTTAGGCGGAAATTAACCTTAATATATGCGTGTATGTGTGTTTAGGCTATTTGCGTCTGTCACAACACATAAAGGAGATATAGAAGATGCAGAAAAAAATACTGAACTTTTGTAATGCATGTCAAATCTGGCAAAGATAGTAATGGGATTGACGTTGCTTAGAGGTACAAGAGATAGGGAAATGTGGAGAGCTATGGTCAACCTACATAAAGAGTTTGTGTATTGGATGATAGATTTGGCATTTTGATTTGTTTTACAGCTTATCAACCCTTAGTGGGTCATTTAAAACCGAGACATTCTAAAATTTTCTTCTTTTTTCTACCTAAATCAAATGGTATCAATCATTTATTTACTCAATTTATTTTTTTCCAAGTTATGGTATCAATTTTTTTCTTATAGCCACGTCAAAGTCTGTACATCCTTCGATATACACAAATACACTGGAACTTATACAACTCAAGAAAGCCCCGTATTTGTTTGATATAAAAAAAAAAAAGGGGAGAGATGATCCAATCTGGACTTTTAATTTTCTACTATTCTACTTTTGTTTGATATTCTTTCCTGGTAATCATCTATTTCGTTGAGTAGGATAGTTTTCCAATGGCAGTAGTCTCTGGCAGCTGTTATTGAACAAGGTTTAACCCAAGCATTTTGGCTTTCATGTTATTTTCATACTAAATGTTATCTACGCGTTTAGTTGAATAAATTGTAGTAATAGTAGGAAGAAACAGAGCTCAGGACATCAGTAAAAGTGCTAAGCTTTATTCAGCGAAACAAAACTCAGCTACAAAAGGAAAATAGATAGTTACAAGTCAAATAGTCAACTGGGGCGAGTCCATTGCTTGTACATAGTGAACATAGGACACTATTACTACCACAAAGGTTAAATGTTTTACTATATTATTTATTTTTATACCAAACAGTGTTACTGATAAAATGCTGCTTTGGGGCACCCTGTCTTCTTGTTTCTCATTTTTTAATTTTTTTTTTTTTTTTTTTTTTTTTAAATAAAAGAGAGTTGATCCAATCTGGACTTTTAATTTTCTGCCAGGAAGGAACCGTTTTATAAATTTTGCTAGACTACCTTTCAGACCAAAGGGTATGCAGATCCCTCATAATACTATATTTCCATATAATATTGTAAGTTTTCTTCAAATCAAAGAAAAATACTGTAAAGTGTTCTTTTTGAACAAATGCATCTTTTATAGCTGATTCAAAGTAGATTATGTAGACCAACATGCTTCTTTTCTTTCTGAAACCACATTGTAGATCCGTAATTAGCTTATGTTCCTGCATGTACCAGATCAATGTGTCATTTATCATTTATTCCATTGTTTTATACAGACAGCTGGTCAGTGAAATGGGTGTGTAGTTTTCGGAGTCAGAGTTGTCTTTTCCATCTCTTTGGGATTACTTAGAGTAGTTTGTTTCCAAATATTAGATTGTCCCAAAAGTTCGTAAACACTTGCGAAAAATTGAATTTTTATGCAATTTTCAATTGTTTTTTTACATTATTGTTAATTTTGAAAAAATTTTATTTCATTAAAATTTTTATTTAATTGTTTTTTGCGTTTATATTGTTATAGTGATCTTCATCTTTGTATTCCAGATGGCAATTGATAAAATTGAGCTGCGAGTTTTGATTCGTTACTGCTGGAAGCGAGGTCTTTCAACCAGAAAAGCTGCAGAAGAGATTTGTGCTGCCAAAGGTGAAGGAACAATTGCATATGCGGCGATCTCAAAGTGGCATAAGCGTTTCGATTCTGGCAACATGAGTCTTGAAGATAAGCCTCATTCGGGACAGCCGTTAAAGTTGGATGATGGAGACTTGCAAACCGGGTTGGACATTGCGCCTTCATCGAGCACTCGAGAATTGGCTGATGAGCTTGGAGTTGGCAAATCGACAATTCACCAACACTTGAAGCAACTTGATTTTGTTCAAAAAAAAGCCACGCCAAGATCCGCACGAACTCACCAAAGCACAAGCCAACAGACGAGTTGAAATTTGCCGTCAATTGTTCAGCAATCCATTGGACGAGCATTTTTGGAAACGCGTTGTGACATCGGACGAGAAATGGGTCTATCTGGTCCAGCACAATTGAGACAAGCAATGGGTTCAGAAAGGGCAAGAGACACTGTTGTTTCCAAAACAAGATTGATTCAGCAAGAAAGTCATGTTGTGCGTTTGGTGGAACTTTGAAGGAATTGTGCATTTTGAGTTGGTTCTGAATGGTCATGCTATCAGTGCTGAACTTTACTGTCAGAAACTGGAGCGGGTCTACGAAAAGTTGAAGCAAAAGTACCCGGCTCTGATCAACCAAAAGCGCACTTTGATGCAGCAGGACAATGTCAAGCCACACACCGCCAGGAAGACCGAAGACAAGTTTGAAGAGCTGGACGGCATTGAGGTTCTGCCACATCCAGCCTACAGTCCTGACTGTGCTCCATCAGATTACGGCCTTTTCCGCTCAATGCAACACTTTCTGAAGAGCCGCCGAATTGACTCGTTTGATGAAGTCGAGGAAGCGTGTCAAGAATTCTTTGATTTGAAGCTGGCTGAATGGTATTTTCACCAGATCCGAAAGCTTGCAGATCGATGGCAGAAAGACTTGGAAAAGGATGGTCTTTACTTTGAGGAATAATTTTTGTTGTTTTTGTTATTATTTGGTGAGTAAAATTTCAATTTTTTGCAAGTGTTTACGAACTTTTGGGACAACCTAATATCTGGGAAACTTCCATTTATCCATATATTATTGTATATTTTTAAAAGAGCTTCTAAGTATTCTTCTGGTAATTGTCTTTGAAACACGTAGTGGACATCATCAGGTTAAACTGCTGTGTTATAGCATCTTTTTATACATGATTTTAATTCCACTAAACTAAGTGGTCTGTGGTAGCTTCTGTATTGTTAGATGTAAAATTGAGTTTGTATTCTTCTCTATTTTATTTTAGGACTAGGAATTTTTGTTTTCCATTTTTACTTGAAGAATTTTTTGAAATTGTTTCAGTTAATGTGTCTACTATGTCCTTTTGGTTAGTCATGATATTGTTATTTTTGTACAGATGCTTAATTGGTATCATTTATTCAGCTATTTTTCTCACCATTTCCCAGACTGATTTTGTTTTTGAGGAGGAGCTGAGATTGTTGACATATTTTTGACAACATTTTTGAAAATTTTTAGGTCACGGGAGAACAAAAGACACTCAATGTGTTACTGGCCCTAAAAACCTGCTGATATTTTATTTTGTTTTTTTTAATGGACTGTGATTGGACGGTTCAAAAGTGAACCGCTCCCTTTTGAAAGGGAACGGAGAACTGGGACTGGACTTTAGCAGTAGTTGGAAATGAGACAGCTTAGAAAGAAGAGGTTCGTTTTCCTCTCTGTGCTGAAAAGGCAGACTGCGTTTGCTCATAATTGAAGGATGGATGGGTAACAAGTTGCTAAGGGTAAGTTTCACCTTCAGAGAGAGTTTTGAGACGTCCTCTTGAGGAGGCCCCAGAAAAGAAAGTTTGAAAAGAAGTCCATAAGTAGAGTTTGGAGCTAAAGCCATTTGAGAAGAAGAAGGAGCAAACACATGTGTTTTCAAAAAGTATTTTACCACATGTTTAAAGTAAATTTTCACCTTCTAGCAGCCATAAAAGAAAGGCGCAATATTCAGGCGGACGGGAGGAAAATCAGTGAAGAAAGAAAGGAGTTTGGTCATCAAGAAGAGAACCTTGTCTACACAAGAGAGAAAAGAAAAAAGATAAAAACTTTTGTACCTTGAAAGGACTGAAAGTGTACTGTAGAGCTAAGGCTCTTCCACCTTTTTTTATTGTTATCACTGACACAGCAGGTGGGTGCTATTCTTTTTTTTTTGTTTTGGTGCATTGTAATTTTTAAGTTTCTTTTCTGCTATGTTTTTTTTTTTTACATTGTGTTACTCGGAGAATAGGTTATCTTATTCTCAGCAAAATGGGATGAATTTTTGCAAGCACCCTTATTTAGCTAGTTAGAAATAAATATTTTTTCTTTGTAATTGAATCTGATTTGCATTTTTTTCTTTCTTTTTCATTTTTAATTCGGCAATAGTGAAAATACTGTTGCAACAGGTTTTATTTTATGAAAGAAAATAAAAATTTCCAATATATTCTTTTTTGGCTTCTTTCACTGTTCTATCAGCCATAGCTCTATGTAACTTGTAATTGTTTAAGTTAACCGTTATAGGTTCGTTGTTAAATGTTTGTAATTTTATGGCTTGTAAACATTTACTATTGAACCAGGATGTGTCTTTTCTATTTGGTGTTGAATTTTGGGTGATACATGTCTTTGCTATAGTGATTAGTACCTCTATAAAGCATTCTGCTGAATCTATATTGTTATTTTGTGTTTACAAAGTCATTTGAATTTGTACCAATTTGTTTTGTTCATTTTCTAGCAGGACATATTTTCATTACTTGGTTTGATGTTTTCCAGGAGGATTGGGAAGTGGTCACTTCCATAAGCGTCATCTTTTATATCCCAAGAAAAGACCAAATATGCTACAGGGTAGATCTGGGAACAGCAATAATTAAGAGGTGGTTCTATGCTCCTGAAAACCACCAATCTCCTGATCAGAGGCCTTGCAGCCAGATGTAGTTTAGCATCATACTTATTATCGTCATACATGACTTTGAAACCAGAAACACAGCCCTTAACAGGAAACAAAGGATAAATCTCTATTCCTGTTCAAAAAACTGGGAAGGAGTGTGGGCTGGGTGATAGGCAAAACTATCCACTCCTATTAAGATTTTTTCTTTTTCAATATCGCAAGCAAAAAGACTTCCAGGTGAAAAAATAAAATATATACCCATTAATTACAGCTACCTTGAAATTAATTTTGTGCTATTAAAACATTATTAATATTATTTGGTAGCCAAAAAATGTGAAAAAGCCAGTCATTCAGACTTGCAATGAGAAATATATCTTGAATGACAATCAAGTTCAGTAAACTTTTGCCTTTCGGAGACCATTTTCATGTCTCTTCCGAGTGATGTCTCTCTTCAGGAGGTTTTAAATCAGGGTGATCAACCTTTTTAGCTCTAATTGATTGTCATTATTTTACTATCCCTTGTTTTTAAAGTTGAACCATTTTCCATTCAAGCATCTATACAGACAAATGACAAATCATATTCATTCAATGTCAGAACTTTATACACGATTCCCATACAAAGACAGCATTATCATAATACCATAACTATTATATGATAGAAATCAAAAGTACTTACTTGTGCAGGTGAGGCACTCAGTTGCACCTGTGCCATTTGTGAAACTGGAACTGTTACATTCAAGACATTTAGTACTTCCAACTAAATTTTGGTAAAAGTTTACAGGACATTTAGTACATGGTTGGTTTCCAGTTAAAGAATAGTATCCTCTTGGGCACTGAGCTGAAAATCAAAAACACAGAGAATATAAGAATTTTTTTTGAAGTGGTGGGAAGACAGAGACATAAACTCTTACATCCATCAGATATATGTATCAAGAATCCTAGCAAATACTTGAAATACAGGATACAGTGTGTTTAGGTATATATTTTGATACATTCATTTTTCCTGGAGTGGCAAAAGGAACTGGCCATTTTTCCAGCATCTTTAGCAATGGATAAGTTCCACTTGTCGGTCTATATAGTGATTATGCAATGATAGGGCATAGCTAGAAGGGTCAAGTACTTACAGGAGTGGCACAAGGAAGTGGCCATTTTTCCAGCATCTTTAGCAACACATGAGTTCCACTTGTGCATCTGTATAGTCATGATGATGAAATGAGAGGGCATAGCTAGAGGAGTCAGGTACTTACTAAAATGGTATAAGGAACTGATCATTTTTCCAGCAAGGTTAAGTTATGAGTTAGGGAGGATCAGTTTATTATTTCATAACAAAAACTGGCCAACACAGACATTCGTGCCCACAAAAACAAGGTTTTATTACAAATGTAATCATTTCATTTTAAGCAGTGAATATAGTTAAAATATTAGTGCTGTCAATAGAAAAACTGTCAGTCTGATACTACTTTTTTGTGGGCATGAAGATTCAAGTTTGCCCAAAACTTATCCCCCATTTTATGCCTAGTAGAATTTCATGTTATATAAGTTTTATTCATAATGCTGTTAAAATTTAAGAATATTAATTATTTAAAATATTTACATCCACAGTCTTTTATGTATGTTTGATAACCAGGTGCTGTAGTAAATTTCAATGTACTGCTTGTATAACAGGTTTGGGTGGATGCCAAGTAGGAATATATCAAACAATTCACAACTACATCACATCTGAATTTACATTCTGCCTCGTCAAGACCATTAAATTTCTTTGGAGAAGTTAAACTTTTTGATTCAATCCGTTTATATGTGCACTTTTTAACTGAAAAAGTAAAAAAGAAACAAGTGAGAAAGAAATCAATGAAAATAATAAACAAAAGATATATATTACTTTAATTAACAGGAACAGATAATCACATTTTGTAATATTGAAGATAATTCTGCTTCAACAAAAAAAAAAACTGTAAAAAATGATGCTCTATACTCAAGGCTATATACTCGTGTAAGCAGTTACCATTAAGATAAAAGTAAACAGTTGTGTTATCAACATCTCAAACATCATTAATTCAGGGTGCACTTGTAGAATGATGAAAACTATAAGGTGAACTTTAAATTTTGATATGGAAAATTAGTGAAGAAATTTGAAAATAGGAAAATAATAAACAACTCCCCTGAAATAAACATCTATTTTTAAGACATTACATTGTATATTTAAGTAATTTTGTGTGAAACCTTTGCTTGATGTGCTTTGAAAATTTGTGAATGTTTGGCCATTTATGTGATAAACATACTCTCATTTGCATTTCAAAAGCAGAGATTAAGATAAAGAGATTGATGAAAAATTTGCTATTTTTTTTTAGAGAGGATGATAATGACGATTTAAATCTCTTGAAGAAGGCAAAAGGTAAAGGATTATCTACTCCTTAAAGTTTAAGGAATTTGACATTCTGTTTAAAATATCAAATGACAAAGACTTGACTTAGACAAGAAAGCCATGTACTTGGTGGCTCTTGTGTTGGAATGCGTCATGAAAAAATAAATGATTTCGTCTCTTTCTCTCCTGCTGTTGTAGCGACGGAAACAGTCTCCACTTCTGAGACTAAAAACTGACCTCCTTCCTATTCCAGCCCTTTACATAGAGCTTGGTAACTCACCTATGCAAAGCACCAACAAGCCAGCTACCAATCACAGTCCTGCGCCTACCCACCTCCACTCGCTTTGGGGGTTTCAAGTTGACCAACCAACTCATTACAGCTCTAACCTTTTAAAAAAAAGGTTTTTTTTTTTTTTCAAATATAAAACTAATACATAAATTCCTCTTCAGCTAACCTAGAGTGCACCGGTTGAGAAACACTGACATATTGTTTCAACAATAATCATTGAGAAATCATACCAGATATTCAAGGCTATATCTTATAGGCCTATTCTTAATTATAATATTTTAATAAATCTTTAGCAGGAAAAACAAAAAAAAATAACTTCACAATTTACTTAACATCTTCAACGCTGAATATGAAAGAAAGATGTTGAATCAAAAACATATTTTAGAACGAGATGAGAAGGGTTAATGAACAGAACAATGGACAGACCAAGAGAGAAAGGAGATTTATTTTTTTCCATTCCAAAAAACGTTTGATTTCTTAAGACTAGAAAATTAGTCAAAGGAAAGTGATATCAACACAAGAGCCATGTGGTGACCTTTAAGCTGACAGCTGATTAATGAGGCACCTGCACAAGTAGCTGTTATGAAAACACAATATAAGCAGAATGGATAAAATTTCATCTGTATCCAAATAAAGGGAATAGAGTTTCTTTCCATAACCTAGGTTGCTTGAAGTTCAATGATCCTGGTAGGATTGATGACTGACCGGATGAAGCTGCTGGTAATTTTTTGCTTCTTCGCTTAGTTTAAATTTAACGTAGGTCATATTTGCTTGGTTGATCAGATTAAAGCCTTCACTGGCATAGTCTCTTTCCACTGGTGGCCACAGTCTGTCTACTGAGTCTAGGTATGGAAAGTGTATGGATGCTTCAAAGTTCTTGTGACCTTTTGCCGACTTTGGACTTATATCCAACACTTAGACAAAGGCAATCCATCACTTTCAGAATAGCACAAGATATTCTGACCAATTACTGGAAATCCTGTCACTACCTCTGCATTATGTAACATCTAGTAGAAGGACAACTCTAAATTTCCAAATCACAGTGAATGCTAACAGAAACTGTTACCCTATCTTTTCCAAGAAGACATTGCAGTTTATAGATCATAAAGAAAAGGAAGATATGGAGAGCCATAGTTACCTACATCTTAATGCAACATGGCATTTTAAAAACTTCCCCAAGCTGAAAGCAAAAACATTAAAACAAAAGAAATATTAATGAAAAATAAATAATTACAACAGTTCATCTTAGAAATTTATACAAAATTTATCAATCTTAATTTGATGAATAAATGAAAAAAAGAAATATTTTTCAGGACCTACTGATTCAAAATCAACATGGATCTTTGTGGTTGATTAGATATCTAACAGGAATTATGATTGACCATTTTCATAGTTGGTGGTACAGTGTTACATCACTTTGTTGGCATACTTCTGTCTCTCTCTCTCTCTTACTCAACAATAATCCTAACAATAATTCTTATATATTGCATCACCACAGGCTTCAGTCTTTCTCACCACAATGCTGCATTATAGACTGTATCAATGAAAGGCTATTTCTTTGTTCTTATTTGCCTTATTATACAAAATTGTATGAGGTTTCAGCAGGAAGATGTCCTGGGGGAACATATGCAAAGTCCTTGCATTAGCATTTCAATACATGTGACCTAGACTCTCTAAAGAATCTAAATGAGGAGGACATGTTGACTCTTCAAGGTTCTTGCAACAATTTGCTATCTTTTCCACTGTCTCATATCCAAAATTTAGATAAATGCAACCTATTACCTTAAAAATTCCATGCCTACAGGGGTCTTACCACCCTGGGCTTCCTTCCCATTCTATAATATAATTAAACTTATTACTTACCAACACATGTTATTTGATGGTTTTCAATTTTTACTTTTTCATTACTCTTACACTGTGTGCAATTCACATCTGAAGGAAGGAAATTGAATATTATTATAGATAGAAAATGTGACAAAGAAATTCAAAGACACAGTAGAATGGAAAATGTAATTCTAAAAGCTAAATAATGTATTAAAAAAGAGGAGAAATTTGTGTCAGAAACAAAAGAGTTCTGAAATTCTTTGTAATAAACAATAGGAACCCCTACAGAAGATAGTAAATGAAATCAAAAGGAAAAGAATAATGACCATTATAAGGACACAGAATCTATTATCAGCAAGAGGATGCTCTTGATATGTGAAATAAGTATTAGATATGACTATATCAAAGAAGAGAAATTTACATATCTAAGAAGTGTTTTAACAGATGAAGGAGAATGAGATACTGAAATTCAAAGAAGCCTACCATTAGCAAAAGATGCTTTCTAGGAACTAAACAAAGTATTGCAGAACAAGCAAATTTCAGTGAAAACAAAACAAAAGAGTACTGAAATGCTATGTAATATTTAATTTTCTTATTTTGCTTGTCTGAAGTTATTGTAGCAAATATAGTGAACAAAACCAGAGTCAAATGGCAGAAATGGTGAACAAGACCTGCCTTATTCATGTCTTTATTTGGCATGTAGGACTTTGATTTGAGAGAAGGCGAGTGTGTCGTTTTGTCAAAAGAGAACCTTTTTTGTTGTCCCATATCTATATGTATTCTGGACCCTGGCATATTGGTTTTCAGCCAAGGTTGAACTTTGATAGGTGGTGACACCCACTGGTCTATCCTGGTCATGGCTCCAATATGTGACACCCACCAGTGGTCGCGGTCTAATATGTGATACCCACTGGTGTAGCTGCCATGCCAATATGTGATGTCCACTGGTCGCGACGTCAATATATGACGCTGCGCCGTCACCCCGTGGTCAACTCCCAGTTGCGGTGCGAAGCTGTAAGGTTTCTTCCAACAGCGTTTTGGGGTTGACTCTTTGTCGCTGCCACCAGCCTATGTCCCGGCTGATCTGGTTGTTCCTGGTTCGATACCAGCTTTGTCATTCTCAGCTCGCCTCCATCTGGTCACAGAAGTAACTGCTTTGATCTCAAGTCTAACCTACCCATATTTTGACTTTGATCTTAGGTAGATGAAATCGATCAGGTGTTGGGCCGTAGTGCAAGCTGAATCCGGGGTAAAGGTAATACCGCATAAGTGTAAGTAAAAAAAAATAATAAAACAAACTCAAGAGGTTCAAATATGTTGAGAAATAACAATTATCTTTATGTGTCTGTTGAATACAGGAGTGTGTTTCTCTCCCAGCCCGTTTCTATGGATTCATGATTTTTTTAGTGTTTCTTAAGCGAGTTATGGTATCTTAAATCGTGCATCAATAAAACTTGCTTTTGGTAGGAGGACTAAGTTGGAAGGATGTGGAATTTCTTGATCAGCTCCTGCAACCATGAAACTCTGCTCAAACTGCAAACTCCAAACTGATCAGCTGCCTCGAGACGTTCGTTTATATGAATACTGTGACATTGCACTGGGTCTGCTAAGAGGGGGCTCCTTGCAAATCCAGTGAAATGGCAGGGAGGGCCACTACGTTGGTTTCATACACAATCAAATTCTTCTTCGTCTCCAGGTTTTGTATATCTGGAGGTGAATTTATAGGTTGGTAGCAATTATCCAAAATTGGATGTTGGGATTTTTATCGATTCCTGGTTTAGAGTGCAACAGTATTGATAGAAAGAAAATAATCAACAGCCATGTATATATATATTAATACATATCTTTAAACAACAGCAAACATTTATCAACGTATCATACAAAATGAACAAATCAAACAAGAGAATAGAATAAACAGAACAATAAATAAATGCCTCTCTCTTTCTGAAACAAAGTTCCTATATAGCCTGGCCAGGGCTAAACGTCTTTACGTAGTCCCCCCCCGCACATTTTTTTTTTTTTCTTTTCTAGGATCCTTTTTTTTTTTCTTTTCAATATGTTCTTTTTTTTTATATCTTTTCCTTCCTTTTCTTTGACACATGTGCATCCAAATGTCTTCTTTTTTTTTTCTTAAAAAAAAAAAATTCAATCACCAATGTTTCATTCGATTCTATTTCCTTTTTTTTTTCTAAAGCCTTTCAATTTTCGAAGTGGATATGATTAAGGAAAGAACAGTACTTATCTTATCCCCCTTTCTGGAGGGGGGGCATTCGTTTTCTGGTGGTGAGTCTTTTTACGATAATCTGGTTCTTGCCTTGGAGTTATGAGAATTTTGTCGTTTACTAAGCGAACCCCGGCTCATAACTAACTTTAAACTTCAACAATTGCCCACATGTGGGTTCCTTTTTGGCGCCACTATTATCCCCACTTGCGGTTGACCTCCATACACACACTAACACAACTGGATATGCACTATTCGCTAGGAGAGAGTGGGGATTGTCGCTTTCTCTCTTCATTCACATAAGGTTTGTATGGAGAGGACATGTTAACTCTTACCGATTCTTTCCCCTCTTTTAATGACTGTGATTTCCACTTTCAGTGGCCAATGGGTTGAAGATAGGGTGGGGGTGTCTCTCCTTCTCACTTTCTACAATACCTCATCACAACACCGACCAAAACTCGGTGTGGGGGCCTGATGTGGCTTGGGTTCCCAATAATTCTCGATTCCCAGTAAGAATTCTCTTTGTTCTTTGGCCAGGAAAATTAATTACTTGCCATTTTTGGAAGATTAATCACTTTCCACTTTGGGGGTTCCTCCCACGTCCGTTAGGGAAGGTCAGAGGAGAGTTGTCTTCCTAGACTCTTCCTCTCTCACATTGGTATCTCATACCAATCCCCTCAGTGGGTGTTAACAACTTCTCCGTCTTTCTCATTGTTATGGTGAAACACACCTATTCTATAGTTAATAGACTCTCTCACCTAATATAAGTAGAAGTAGTAATAGAAACGACAGTCAGTCGATGTTGGACGACAGTCGAATACGAAAGTATCAGCGACCACAACAAGATTACTCTGCATAATACCTATTATATCAAGTTCCTAATGTTTTGTACGTTGACCCTATTTTAGGACCGATTTAGTACAAATACAAGTCTCCACTGCAAAATCACTCCACAACAACTTTTGGCGACGAGGGATTCGCACTCATTCGGAGGAAGAAAAAATTTGCTCGCCACAATATCTTTGGTGACGAAGGATTTGCACTCATATGGAGGAAGAAAAAATTTGCTCGCCACAATAACTTCAGCAACAAAGTCTCGGATTCACACTTAAAAAAAAAAAAAAACCTGGCAAAGTTTTTCGCAAGCCAAGACGTCAACTTAGTGACAAAAAAATCTGTTGTATTTCTGAAAAAAGAAATATATTTTTTTCCGATAATACAGTTTGCTCAAGTAGGTCACAAATTGCAAATTCGTAGGACCCCACCTCTACTGTATTTAGGCATTGTGTAAACTTTTTGTGAAGATGGAGAAATGCAAAAGTCTATTCAGGGAATTCTTTAAGTTCCAGTCGGAACAACAGACGACAATATTAGAGCAACAAAAAACATTCCAGATGCAGCTACAGGAGGAAACTTTTAATAGACAAATGCAATTTCAACAAAAAATGGAACAGACGAATAGGGAGTTTCAAAACAAAATTCTGGAAATAACTGAGAAGAGGAAAGAGAAAAATCTACAAAATGATTCTTTCCCAGAGAATACAATATGGAATTCAAATGAAATATTCATGTACAGTCCCGATGAAGAGATAACTTTTGAGGAGTATTATAAAAAATATACGGATGTGTATAACGAGGACTGCTACTTGTGGTCTGAAGGAAAGAAGGTTAGGCTTCTTTTAAACAAATTAGGAACTGCTGAGCATAACAAATTGGTAAATTAGATTTTACCGAAGAAAACTAGCGAGTTGACATTTACCGAGGCAGTAAATATATTAAGTGAATTATTTAGTAAAAAGACATCTGTTTCACAAGAGGTGGAAATGTTTAAATCTGATGAAAGATGATGAACAAGACTATATAATGTACGCAGCCAATGTGAACAACCATTGTGAAGAATTCAAGCTGGCAGAGTTAAGCGTAGACAATTTTAAGTACTTGGTGTTTGTTCAGGGGCTGGTATCAGAAAGAGATGCAGAGTTGAGAAAATTAGTACTGGCAAAATTGGAAAGCAATCCAAGTATTATGGTGTAGAGTTTGGCAGATAACTAAACCAGATATGTTAGCATAAAGGAAGATTTAAAAAAGATAGAACAGTCTGGCGTTTCACATGTAAGGAAAATATGCTACAAAGAAGAAAGTCAGTCTACCAAAAAGAATTCTAAAATTGTGGATTATCAAGCAAAAAGTGAAATACCAGAGAAAAATAAACAGAAACTCCTGAAGCCATGTTTTGCTTGCAGTGAACTACACTGGTACAGATATTGCGATTTTAGGAATAAAAAATGTTTCAACTGTAAAAGAGTGGGTCATAAAAGCATGCACTGCAGGTCAAAAAATAAAGACAATAAAATAAGAAAATTAAAATCCAACAAGGTAAAAGATGGAATAACCAGAAAATTTTTTACCATTGAAATAAGTAATAAAAATATAAAAATGCAACTTGACACTGGCTCAGATCTATCTATCATAAATTTGCATACGTGGAAGAAGTTAGGGAAACCAACTTTAATGACGACAAAGAAAACTGTGAGGTCAGTGACAGGAGAAAATATACAATTTATTGGCGAATTTGTTACAAACGTCACGTTAAATAAAAAAACGGCAAAAGCTAAACTATTTGTCATAGAAAATAACACAAACTTACTTGGTACGAATTGGATAACAGAATTCCAATTATGGGATCTACCGATAAATTCCTTCTGTTACAAGGTAGAAAGTTTAAACACCAAAGCCCAAAAATTAGTAAAAAAACTTAAGGAAAGAAAACTGTTTTTTCTCCAGGTTTTGGGAACGTATTACCAAGATGGAGGCAAAATTCAGCTAAAAGAAAATGCTCAGGCGGTATTCAAAAAGAAAAAGGAATGTGCTGTTTGCCTCAATTGAA